CCCGATTACAACGCGTCCGCGCCTACCTCCTACATTATGTATTTGGATGCTACTAATTTGTATGGACATAGTATGAGTCAAGCACTTCCTATTTCCCACTTCCGTTGGCTAACCCAAGCCGAAATTGATGAATTGAATGTTCTCTCTTTACATGCTTCTTCTGAATACGGTTACGTACTTGAAGTAGATGTTGAATATCCCCAACACCTCCATGATTTACATGCTGATCTCCCCTTTTTAGTTGAAAACATTATCTCTCCTGCTAATGTGAATGGTAAAGTCAAAAAACTGATACCGAACCTTATGAATAAGACAAAATATGTTCTTCATTATCTTACGCTTCAACAAGCCCTTCATAATGGACTACGATTACTTAAAGTTCACAGAGTTATCCAGTTTAAACAGTCCCACTGGATTAAACCTTTCATCGATTTAAATACCCGACAACGTAATTTGTCTGAAAATAAATTTGGGAATTCCTTCTTCAAATTAATGAACAATAGTGTTTTCGAAAAAACAATGGAGAACGTTGATAAACGAGTTGATGTAAAATTAGTCACTCATTGGCAAAATTTTGGACCCTTTCTTGGTGCGGAGAGTTTAATAGCTAAACCTAATTTCAAAAATTCTAAGATATTCACTCCCAATTTCGTAGCCATTCAGATAAATAAATTACGCATTAATTATGATAAACCTCTCTACGTTGGTTTTACTATCTTAGATTTATCAAAAGTTGTTATGTACGACTTCTACTACACCTTTCTTAAACGAAAATATCAACACAACATTTCTTTGATGTGCATGGATACCAATTCTTTCATTTTGAAAGTGTACACTAAAAACTTTTACCTAGACATTACTGAAAATATTAATCACTTCGATACTTCCAATTATCCGCGCCCGAATAGTTTCAATATCCCCATTACCTCATCTGTTATCGGTAAATTCAAAGATGAGTTCCCTAATAATTCTATTAAAGCATTTTATGTAACCGGAGCTAAAGCTTACTGTGTTGAAGCGATTAATCAAATTGTTAAAAAAGCTAAAGGTGTAAGAAAAACGTTATTAAATTACATCTCGAAATTGACGATTACCTTCGCGTTATTAGGCACGATTCCACCATTACAAAATGTATGAATGTTTTTGTTTCTGACCTTCATACTATGTTCCCTCAAATGAAAACTAAAGTAGCTCTTTGCCCTAAAGACGATAAACGTTTCTTGATTCCGAAAACAACTAATACGCTTCCTTGGGGACATTACAATATAAAAAACTCAACATTCTGTCTCAAAGTTGAATAGCAAAATCGATCAATTAATCCAAAATTTTAATCAATCGCACACAGATAATTTAATGGTTGGGGAATATTTTATTCAATAACTTTTTGAAGCTTCTTCACTTTCAGAAGAATCTATTGATAATATATACGAAAACCTTACATAACAATAAGCGTTTGTGCTTTATGTGTATATGTAAATAATGCTTCAATATTATATTTTAAACGTTTATCCTTACTATTGTTTGTATACTCTCATGTGCTTAAATAAACGTCACAATAAGGCTTTGTCTATAACTAACTTTACAAATTGAATTATCTCTCTGAACGTTCAAACAAAACACGGAATGTTTCTGCTGTTACAATTTATTGAGTTATTAACATTAATAATGAGTATATATTTTTATAATCTTCCATATTAGTTGATGGCCATTTGCCTGAGTCGGGACCGCTTTGCCAGCCTGGAGCCTTTTCCGTTCCTTCTCGTAAAATGTTTTCTTCTATCCAACTCACCACTGTCTGATGACGACCGTTAATGTTCGGACTTAAAGTATATGGAAGCCGGAACAAATTTATTAGCTTAATACACTTTTCCAAATATTTCGGTTGCGCGTAGTATGCTACATCCATTATTAAATCATCTACACACTTTAGTAGTGTTCTATACGTTTTCTTTACGTTAACGATGGAAAATCTTTTGTTCTTCACCAGAACCGATCCGTTTGTCAACATTTCCTTTAGAAAATATACATCGTTTCTCGTGTAATTACTATTTGTTTCATTTAAAATGTCTTGGACATCATCACCGGTTATCTCCACTTTTTCACCACATGCTTTTAAAAAATCACTTACGAATG